ACTTTGTTCTTGATACTGACAACCCAGGTCACCAGAAGGTGTCGGTCAATCAGATACCAATCAAAGGCCATCAGCTTCTACATCCTAAAATGCATCATTTCCCCTGACCATCCTGACTTGGAAATATATTGCCGTTCCTTCACTGTCGCTGGGTCAAAATCCTGGAATTCCCACCCTAAGGGCATTGTGGGTCAAGCCACAGCAGGAGGTCTGCAGCGGTTCAAAAAGGCAGCTCACCACCACCTTCTCAAGGGGGCAACTAGGGACGGGCAATAAATGCTGGCCCCGCCAGCAACACCCACGTCCCAAGAATGAATGAGAAAGAAAAAGTTGTGACCTACTCCTCGGGGGATCCAGTGGTAAGAAGGTATATATTTTTTCTCTTCTTCTTGCGGTGTTACGGGAAGAGAAGTGTCCGGGTGGGTCAGAGGCAAAGGCTTTCAGAGACCACTCCATGGTCCATCATCTGTCGCTCCATTTGACCCCAGATTGGGTCAGTTGGAGGTTCAGAAATTTCTGAAGAAGCATCCAGACCCGAAACATCAGCTTTCCTGCTCCGCTGATGCTGCCTGGCCTGCTGTGTTCATCCAGCTCTACACCTTGTTATCTTATCACCCTATACTGCCCCCAGGGAGGTAAGTTGAGGCCCTCAAGAAACCATTAATTGATGACCATCAGGGTTTTAATCACTGGCCTGTGACCTTCTCATCCAGAACCAAATTGCTAATATGGCGAATTTCCCTCCACGCTAACCTTGCCCAATTATTTCCCTTTCTCTAAATCAGGGAAAATCACCCCGTTATGGGATTTATTTTCAGCTTTTTTTCGTCAAACTGAACTCAGATTTTCAACCTGCGACAGTAAGATTTGAACTTCTGTCCTCTGGACGATTTGGCCAGGCACAGGACCTTTCTGCTAATGCTTAAGACTGCAAAAGATCCGACCCTGGGACCACCCCACCACCAACCCCCCGCAACCCCACCCCCGTCATTAGCCGGTGTACATTTCAGAACATGGTCAAATCCCAGAGAAGCTCACCATCAGCACTTTTCCATGTGATTTTATACGCAGATACCATGCCTATTCCCGTCCACATGATCTGGAGCATGTTCCGTCGAGTCTCAGTCACTCGCACATTGGTCACATCGCCAACAATGGGATCTTTTTGTGAAAGGACACAGAAATATATTTGTCATTGAGTCACACAATTTCTAATCTTACATGGAATCAGAAGCATGATTAAGTTCCCTTTTTGTTCCTCCCAACCAGACCCAAGCCAGTGTCCAGGTCATTTCCTTCGACCCAAATAAACCCCAGGGTGGGGGGCCTATCCTTGGAAGAGCCTCTCACCTGTTGACAGGGAAGAGAGGACCAGCTTCTGCCCCGAAAGGTAAGGGTTCCCAGGCAGTTAGAAACGCCAATGCTGGCTGTGTTGTGTCTGCTCTGTTCAGTTTTCATGTTGCTGGTAAAGGTGACATGAATTACACATCCCTAATGCCCTTGAGATTCTCATCCTGGGAGACCGCTGAGGATAATAGAAAGAGGCCATAACCTTGTCGGTAGGGAGAGGCGTTTCTGGGACTGGAGCTGTTGTAGATTGCTGGAGCAAAGTGCAGGCACCTTTAGAATTGTATGCTGCACAGCTGGCTATTTGGCCCATTATAATTTTGACTGAAGTAGCACTGCTGCTTCACAGCACCAGCGACCCAGGTTCGATTCCAGCCTCAGGCGACTGTCTGTGTGGAGTTTTCACATTCTCCCCGTGTCTGCGTGGGTTTTCCTCCCGGGTGCTCCAGTTCCCTCCCATAGTCCAAAGGAGTGCAGGATAGGTGGACTGGTCATAGTGTCCAGGGATGTACAGGCTATGTGGATTAGCCACGGGAAATGCAGGGTCACAGGGATAGGGACGGGGTACGGGGGTGGGTTTGGGTGGGATGCTATTCAAACAGTCGGTGTGGACTCAATGGGCTGAATGGCCTGCTTCCTCACTCTAGGAATTCTATGATTCAAACTGTCCAGTTGGTCCCACTCCCACAATTTTGATTTTTTTTTTCTCTATTTTCATGTTTTCATCCAGTTCTCTTTTGAAAGCCATTATTAAAACTGCTCACACCATCCTTTCTGACAATGGCACTCCAGATCTTGCATTCTAGGTATCTTTAATCAGACACATAATGCCATATGTCAATAGATGTGAGGTTGGAAAAGCACAGTAGGCCAGACAGCATCCGAGGAGCAGGAAAGCCAATGTTACAGTTAGGAGTGTGACGGGCTTCAGCCCAAAACGTTGACTTTCCTGCTCCTCGGATGCTGTCCAAACTGCTGTGTTTGTCCAGCTCCACGTGTATTTACTCTGGCTTCCAGCACATTTTGCCCTTCTATGCTAAAACTGTCTTCACTTACAGGATCTGTATCCCTCGATTCCTTTCCTATTCATGTATATGGTCAGGTACTTCTTGAACCTGGATCTTCTGGCCCAAGATCCCCAGTCCGACTACACTCTCCCTACTGACACAGGGTGCTCAAAATGAGAAGTGTTCCATTAAGTTGACATTACTCGAGATGCAATGAACTGTCATCACTAATCTTCCACATTCAACATCCTGGGTTTACCATTGAGAAGAAACAGAACTGGACTAGCTACATAAATACAGTGGCTGCAAGAGCAGTCAGAGGCTAGGAATACTACAGTAACTGACTCCCCAAAGCCTGTCCACCATCTACAAGGCACAAGTCAGGAGTGTGATGGAATGCTCCCCACTTGCCTGGATGGGTGCAGCTCCAACAACACTCAAGAAGCTTGACACCATCCAGGACAAAGCAGCCCACTTGATTAGCACCACATCCACCACTTTCTATATTCACTCTCTTCACCATTAACTTATAGTGTGTTCCGTCTGCAAGGTGCACTCACACAGACTCCTCCCACAGCACCTACCAAATCCACAACCACGTCCATCTAGAAGGACAAAGGCAGTAGATACATGGGGACACCAGCCCCTGCAAGTTCCCCTTTAAGCCACTCATCAACCTGACTTAGAAATATATCGCTGTTCCTTCATTGCTGCTGGGTCAAAATCCTGGAATTCCCTCCCTAAGGGCATTGTGGGTCAACATGCAGCGCATGGACTTCAGCAGTTCAAGGCAGCAGCTCACCACCACCATGTCAAGGGCAATTAGGGATGGGCAATAAATGTCAACTTGGTTGGCAATGCCCAACATTCCATGAACCAGTTAATTAAAAAGGGCATCATTTAAAGTGAAGGTTCATAAAAGTCACTGAAAAGTAATAATGGGCCAGAGATGTCTCAATGGTGATGTAGGCTGAGGTCTCTGTGCCACCACTCACTGGTCTTTGTAGTCACTGTCATGACGTTTCCCTCTCTGGATCCAACCAGTCCCGAGACCTCAATCGCATACACAGTGTTGGGCTGCAGCCCTTCAATGTCGAAAGCGCTGGTATCTCTGCTCAGAATCCGACTGTCCTTGACACCTGAGGGACAAAAGAAGAATAAGATGGAGACCTGAGCATACAGGAATGTCAAGCTGTATTCGTAATGGCGTGGGAAAATGCCCCAAGGTTTGGCACTTCTTGAACCTGGACCTTCTGGCCCAAGATCTTGAATAGACATTATCACTCAACATCTGACACTGAGGCACATGAAGAGATATGAGGACAGCAAGTTTTAAGGAGTGACTTAAAGTAAGAGACAGAGGGATGTAGAGGTTTGGCTAGGAATTTCAAAGTTTAGTTGATTTGTGCCAAGCCTCTTGTCTCAATGGAGCACGCTGTTCCAACAGACTTGACATTGTGTCATTCTTTTCCCATAGATCCTGCTGCCTTTAGGGCCTGGGCTCTACCTTGCATTGTAGAAGTTACTCTCTTATGGTAGGCTCTCCCTACTCTGAGTCTGCTGCATCTCTGTCTCGACCATTTAGTTGTTGGCAAGGCCAGAATTTGTTGTCCATCCCTCTGCCCATGAACCATATGCCTTACTAGGCCATTTCAGACGGTGAATAAGAGTCATCCCCATCATTGTGGTCCTGGAGTCATGTGTAGCTCAAACCTGGTATGGAAGGCAGATTTCATTCCCTGAAAGACACTACTGAACCAGATGGGCTTTCCCCTTTCCTTTGTATGTTGTTTCCTTTCAACCTGCCTCTGCTGTATATCCAAGCAATGCATTCCAGACCAGAACCACACATTCAGTGAAAGAAGATGTTTTTCACATCACATTCGCTCCTTTTGCAAATCATTTTACTTCCGTGCCCTCCGGTTCTTTATCCCTTTAGGAGGAGGAATAGTTTCTCTCTATCTACTCTCTCCAGACCCCTCACAATTTTGAAAACCTCTGTCAAATCTCCTCTGAACCTTCTCCTCTCCAAGAGGAACAGCTTCAACCTCTCCAGTCTAACCTCATCACTGAAGTTTCTCATCCCTGCAACCATTCTTGTAAACCACTTCTGCACTCTCTCTCCAATGTGTGCCCACATCTTTCCTATAAGGTGGTGCCCAAAACTGTACACAATGTTCCAGCTGAGGTCTAACAAGTGTCTTATACAAGTTCGACATCACCTCCTTGCTCTTGTATTCTATGCCCCTATTAATAAAGCTGAGAACACTGTGTACTTTATTAGCTGCTCTTTTTACCTTTCCTGCCATCTTTAACGTATAGTATACATTACTACACAATTGGATACATTGCAGTATACAACCAGGTTCCTCTGCTCCTGGACCCCTCTTAGAATTGCACCTCCTGTTTCCTTCTGTCTGAGTGAGTTCTCCCTATCGTAAGACATCACCTCACATTTCTCCGCACTGAACCTTATCTGCCACCTATTCACCCACTCCACCAATATCCTTTTGGAGTTCCTCACTGTCCTCCTCACAGTTTCCAAGTCTTCCGAGTTGCATATCATCCACACACTCTGAAACTGAAATCAACATGTTCATTCCCATTCTTCAACATTTAGGAATCATGGAGCTGAAAGTACAGCCAGCAATGGGGGAGCATTACCATTGGGGATAACTAACACTGGGGATCACTAACACTAGGGATAATCACCTCCAGGGATAATCAACATTGAGGATCATTAACAGTGGGGATAAATTACATTAGGGATAATCAACACTGCGGATAATTAACAGTCTCCAACTAGAGAACAGAAACTTCTTAAAAATAAAGGAGGACTCCCTAAAATTAGACTTTGAACTTCAGTTTATCAGAGTTTGTGGAGAATGCTGACAAGACCAGCATTTGTTGCCTGCGAACCAAGCTTCTTGCTTAATCATTTCAGAAGGCATTTAAGAGTCAAACACATTGTGATTACACCACACCAGGTAAGGATGGCATATTTCCTTCCTTAAAGGACATCAGTGAACCAGTTGGGTTTTTACAACAATCATTGATAGCTTCACAGTTATCTCACTGCGATTATCTTCATTTTCCAGATTTATTAACTGAATTTAAATACCACCAGCAGCTATGGTAGATATGAACCTGTGGCCTCAGAGCAATATCTTCTGGATTGCTAGTCCAATGACGCTATCATAACAACCCTGCCTCTCCAGGTGTGTTGCCAACCTTCCAGAGTCTTGATGTTTTAATAAATTATCTTCAGGTCAAAAGTCAAGGAACACCAAGAAAGACTCCACGCCAAGACAAAACATATTCTGGCTTCGGATTTTCAACTTTCTTTGAATACAATACTTATTAATTACAAAGATAATGAAGATCTCTCAAAGCCCACCTACAAAGGGTAGTTACTGAGAAGTGGCTGGAAACATAGGGCAGATTGACTCAAGGCCTTGAGCATATACAAAGAGGAATCTAGATGGAAGTAGGCCATTTGGCCCAATGAGTCTGCTCCATCATTCAATGAGATCATGGTGGATCAACTTCACTTTCTTGCCTTTTACCCACAACCTTTGTTTCCCTTACTGATTAAAAATCTATCTCAGCCTTTAATATACACAATAACCCAAACTCAGCAGCCCTCTGTGGTAAAGAATTCCACAATTCACTACCTTCTGAGAGAAGAAATTCCTCCACATTTCTGTGCAAACCCTTATTGTGAGATGCCTTCTGGCCTTAAATTCTCCCACAAGGGGAAACAACCTCTCTGCATCTAACATGTCAAGTCCCCTAAGAACCTTGTGTGTTTCAATGAGGTCTTATTGCTTTAAACTCTACAGAGTCCAGGCCCAACCAGTCAAACTCTCTTCATAAAACAACTCCTCCAAACCTGGTATCAGCCTACTGAATGTTCTCTGAACTGCCTCCAACGCCAGTCTATCTTTCCTTGGATAAGGGGCCCAAAACTGTTCACAGTATTCCAGTTATGGTCTGACTACTGCCTTGGATACATTTAGCACAACCTCCCTATTTTTATACTCCATTCCTTTTCAAATAAATGCAAGCATTCCATTTGTCTCCTCTGTTACCCACTGAATTTGCATGCCAGTATTTTGTTATTTATGGATGAAGATTCCCAAACCCTCCTGTTCTGTAGCTTTCTACAGTCTTTCTCCATTTAAATAATATTCAACTCCTATATTCTTCTTCATAACCTCACACTTACCCACATTATATTCCATTGGCTAAGCTTTTGCCCAGTTGTGTAACCTGTCTATGTCTCTCTGTAGACTCTTTGTGTCACCTTCATCATTTGCTTTCCCACCACAAACTCATCCCTCACTTCCCTCATCCAAATTATTGATACATCAATGAGAACAGAGGACATATTTAGTATGAAAAGGCAGGACAGACTGAGGTAAATTGCTCTCAGAAGAAGGTGTTTGAAAGAGCTTTTTACGAAGATTTAGGCAGAAAGAGTTTAACGAAATAATGTTCTGGGGACAAAAACAGAAGTTGCTCGAAAAGCTCAGCAGATCTGGCAGCATCTGTGGAGAAAAAGAATCAGAGCTAACGTTTCGGTTCCGGTGACCCTTCCTCAGAACTTTACAGCATCCACAGTTCTTTCGGTTTTTATTTAATGTTCTGGGGACCCGGGTTTGAATCCTGCCACAGCAGATGGTGGAATTTGAATTCAATAAAAATAAAATCTGGAGTTAAGAGTCCAATGATGACACATGAAACCAATGTCAATTGTCAGAAAAACCCAACTGATTCACTGATTTCGTTCAGAGGGATGGAATCTGCCATCCTTACCTGGACTGGCCTACATGTGACTTCAAGCCCACAGCAATGTGGTTGACTCTTAACTGCCCTCTGAAATGGTCCTACAAAGGCACTCATGTGTACCAAGCACTATAAAGTCTCTTCAAGGGCAAGTAGGGATGGGCTATAAACGCTGGCCAGCGCATTACACCCGCATCTGACAAATGAATTTTTAAAAAAGTTCGTATAAAAAAAGAAATTTCCACTTCTTTAGGAGTCCAAAACCATGAATATAATTTTGCCACTAATAAATCAAACAGGGTCTTAAGAAATACCTCTTTATGTAGAGAATGGTTCAAATGTTCCCAAACAATGTGGGCAAGGTGAATTTTTTTTAATTAAAAACCGAAAGAACTGCGGGTGCTGGAAATCAGAAACGAAAACAGAAATTGCTGGAAAGGCTCAGCAGGTCTGGCAGCATCAGAGGGAAATCAGAGCTAACGTTTTGGACCCAGTGACCCTTCGTCAGGACTCAGTCTGTTTCTTAAATTCATTCACAGGATTAGAGGGTCACTGGATAGACCAGTATTTATTGCCCATCCCTAATTGCCCAGAGGGCAGTTCGGAGTTACAACATTGCAGTGGGCTGGGACTCCTACAGAGGCCAGATCAGGTAAGGGCATTAGTCAACCAGATGGGGCTTCCCCCCGCTCCAAGAACAGGTTTCATAGTCATCATTTATTGAATTCAAGTTTCACTATCTGCCACGGCAGGACTCAAACCCGGGTCCCCAGAACATTACCTCATGACTGGTTGAATAGTCTAGCAATAGTACCATTAGGCCCATTGTCTCCCTGAGGTAGCAGAGTTGCATTGAGGGGAGGTGATTGATAATTCCATGAGGGAGGAAGAGATAGAAGGACATGCTAAAAGAAAAATAAAGAGTTCAGGAAAAACTCACATCTGTGAAGAGAGAAAAATATAGTTTTTGAGTCTAATATGGCTTTTCAAGATTATTCTATTTGAAATGGTCACCCTGTTTCTCCTTCCAAAGATGTGGTCTGACTTGTTGAGATTTTCCAAAACTTTTACTCAGGCTACCAGCATTTGTGGTATTTTGTTTTTTTATTATAGACGGATGTACCAACAGGTTTAGATGAAATGGATTTGGAATGAGACCCTAGTGAATGCCAACACAGACCAGTTGGACCGAATGGTCTCTTTCTGCGCTGTAAACCTGACGTGACTCAGCAAATGGAGCCAATGCATGGCTAAAGCTCCTTGCATGGTCCACACGGGAACCTGACGATACCGAACAACCCACAACAGCAAAAAGAACAGGTCACCTACCATCAGCACGGCGCCATGTGACCCTGTACGCTGTTGCCGTGGCAAATCCGACCCAGCTGATTCGAATCCGTGAGCTCTGTGTTTCGACTACTCGCAGATTCGTCACACCACCCACGAGCGGTTCTTGGAAAAGAAAAGGTTGTTTTCTTTTGAGACAAAGAAACAGCTGATATTTCAAAAGAGCGAGAGGTCATACCGCCCAGCAAGCTGTATTTCTGGAATGTTATATCCACCACACATCTAACTCTCTTCGAGTATCCATTCAATTGCCTTTCGAACTTGCTTCAGAGAATGTCTCGTCAAATTACCTACACTAGTTAACGGAAATACACAGGGGACCAGTGACTGGGTTGAAACAGACCCAACTGGATTGCCTTGGCAGATCTGAGAAGGTTCATCCACCAGTCTGGTCAGTCTTGAACCCTAACCTTGACGGTGAACAACCGTTGCTAATTTCACACACCCAAAAATATGTCCCTGGCACTGACCTTCAATGAATGGGAACGGGGTGGTATTGGTTCTTGATGTGATTGAAGTCTTTCCACAACAAGGGCTCCATTCAAACTCACTGGGACCTTCGCATCACCATTCCTTGTGACCAAGCATAAATGGGAGGGCAAGAAACATTGCAATTTGTACAAAAAAAAATCACAAAGTCGCACCAACGCCACCCATGGTGTTGCTGTACAGGATGTTGGTGAGACCACATCTTAATAAGTACTTCTTACTTACATCATACGGTCAGGTCTACACTCACATCAGTTTTATTCATTCATGGGATGTGCATCTTGCATTTGTGTCCCATCCCTAATTACTCTGTACCACGTTCCTGACCTGCTGCAGTTCTTCTGTTGTAGGGACACCCATTGTGCGGTTAGCAACAGACTTCCAGAATTCTGATCCACTGACAGTAAAGGAATGGAGATATATTTCCAAGTCAGGATTGGAGGGGAACTTGCAAGGGTTGGCATTCCAATGTATCTGCTGCCCTTGTTCTTCTAGAACGTAGAGGTGGTGGTTTGGAAAATGCTGATGAATAATCCTTGGTAAATGAACATCAACAGGCTTTACTGAACATAACTACTTACTAGGAATAGTAAGAAAGAACATATTTGGAAGCTGACATATTTCAGTCCCAGTCCCATGTGATCCATTATCACTAAAGTTCCTAAAGTACATGCTCAGTAGCTCGTCTACAATTGAGGGGAGAGATGTCTGCATTGGATACAGTTTTGAGAAGATGTACTGGAATGAGGAAAGAATGCATAAATTGAGCCATAACTCATTGGTTTTAGCAGATTGAAAGATGATCGTAATTCCAAAGGAACTTGACATTTTTTAGAAATATTCTTTCAGGGAATGTGGTGACACTGGCAAGTCCAGCACATATTCCCCATCCTTAATTGCACCATGTGGCTTGCTACAGCTTTCAGAGGGCAATTAACAGTCAATGCTATTACTGTGGGTCTGGAGTCACATGTAGGCCTGATAAGACTTCTTTCCCTAAAGGGCATTAGTGAACCAGGTGGGTTTTTAATGTGAATCAATGATGGATTCATGGTCACTATCGCTAAAACTAGACCGTCTGGTAGGATTTGAACCTATGTCCTCAGAGCAATGACATGGGACTCTGGATTACTAATCCGACCGCAGCCAACCCAATCCAACCCACTCTTGCGGGCGAACCTAGATCTAGGGAGCACAGTTTCAGAATAATCCTGAATAAGATGATGGGGAGAATTTCCAAGGCGATAAGGATAATTTCTTCTCCCAGTAGTCTTTGGAATTCTTTGGAATTTTCAATTGTTCGGAACAATGTCTTTAGTCAATCTCAGTGCCAGGAAGCTGGCAAAAAGGGTAATTGAGGCCAGGGTTACAAATGAGGCAGGGAGGAAGGGGTTTTAACTGCATTTTAGGGAAGGGCAATACTTATTTAGCTTCATGTAAAAATGTCAATTTCTCATAACAGAATTGTGGCAAACTGTTAGGCTACACCTAACAGGTGGTGAGAAATGATTCCAGTAATGATTTCAGAAAGGTATTTGTGGACAAGGAACTTACGGGGTAATGAACAGAGTGCAAAGGCTTGAAAATAAGTACCACTACTCTTTGATAAGAGCTGGCATTGGAACAGCAGGCCAAACACTGTCTTGCTTCGTGCTCAGTATCTGTCATTTCTAAGATATCTCCACAGAAACTCAAGACCAATATCTCACCCCAAGCAGCTCTTCCTCTCTTCAGGCCTGGCCCTGAAGTATCACCATGCAGGGAGTTAGACACTCACCAGTTCTCACTGTGACAGTGGCGAGAGACCCCTCTCTGTTTCCCACCATTGCTGAAACTCCAATCACGTACACAGAATTCGGCTGCAAACCTTCCACATCAAACATGTTGATGGAGCTACTCAGCACTCTGCTCTCCTCAGTTCCTGATGTAAACAATGGATAAATGCAACATTAATCATTCATTATTGAATCACAGACTCCATAATGGGGAAGCAGGCCTTTCAGTCCATCAAATCCACATCAATGGGCAAGTCATGTAGTTCCAACCCCCTACCCTATCCCTGAAACCTTGCATTTCCCATGGCTAATCCACCTCGCCTATAATTCCTGGACACTCTGGGCAAATTAGAAAGGCCAATGCACCTAACCTACACATCTTTGGACTGTGGGAGGTAACAAGCAGCACCCAGAGGAAACCCACACAGACACAGTGAGAATGTACAAACTCCACACAGACAGTCACCCAGGACTGGAATTGAACCTGGGTCCCTGGTGCTGTGAGGCAGTAGTGCTAACCACTGAGCCACCATGCTGCCATTAACTAAATTCTATTTATTTATTCATAGGATGTTGGCATCACTGGTTAGGCCGGCATTCATGAAAACTCCCCAGCAGGCTGTGAAGAGAATCAACCACATTACTGTGGGACTGGAGTCACACATAGGCCAGACCAGGTAAGGATGACAGTTTACTTCCCTAAAGGACATTAGTGAACCAGATGGGTATTTCATGGTCACTGTTAGACTCCTAATTCCAGATTTCATTTTTTAAAATTTAATTCAAACTCCACCATCTTTCACAGTGAGATTTGAAACCAGCTCCCCAGAACATCACCTGGGGCTCTGGATTTAATAAAATCTAGTGATAATACCACAAGGCCATCACCTCCCCCAATTGAAAGGGCATAAAAATTTCCATTTATCACAGCAATTTGTAGCACCTCACGACATCCCAGAACACTTCACAGTCATCAACCCCACATAGTGGGTCAGCCATTTTGAACTGAAATGGGGAGCAATCTCTTTGTTTAGATGAGTGTGAATTGTTTAATATTCGTGTATGTGAATGTGGGTGTCACTGGGAAAGTCAGCATTTATTGCTGGCCCTAATTGCCCTTAAATGTGGCTTGCTAAGGCCATTTCAGAGGGCAGTTAAGAGGCAGTGAACATACAAGTGAGAAACAAGAGTAGGCCACTCAGCCCCTTGACTCTGCTGTGCTATTCAATAAGATCACAGTTCATCAGACTGTTGCATATCCCTGATTAACCACAATAACCTTTCAACATGTTGCTCGTCAGTAATCTAACAACCTTTGTCTTAGAAATATTGACAGCAAACAATTAATGAAAATAAAATTTACTCAGGTAGGTAGATTATCTCCCAATCTGAATGAAAGGCTTTCATTATTATAGTGCCTTCCGTGACTTCAGGATAGTCCAAATTAAATTACGTTATGAAGTGTGGCCACTGATAGAACGTAGGAACCGCGGCAGCTGACAGGCGCACAGCAAGATCCCACTGATAGAACTGAAGTAATGGTCGGGTTACACGTTTTAATGATGTCAGTTCAGCAATCGAAAATCTGTCTCCCCACCAGAGAAATCTACCCCGCTGCGCCCTCCCCCACCTGCTGTTCTTCAAAAATAGTTCCATGCGATCCTCCCAATTGGGTAAAAGGGCCTCCATTTACCATCATATCCGAAAATGGCACCGACGTCAGTGCAGCATGCCCTCAACACCAGCACCAACTGAGCAACGTTTTAACAAGTGAAGCCTTGTAGGTGCCACTGCCATCAAATATTGGCACGAAACGCAGCAAATGCATTCTTGAGGTACCTCCCAAGGGCAGGGGAACCTCATTCAAGCTGTTTGGAGGTGAGTGCACCTACCGTCAGCGTGTTTCCACATGACCTTGTACGCTGTAGCCCGGGGCACTCCTCGCCACGTTATTCGGATAAGACTATTCCGAGTCTCAAGGGAACGGAGCTCCGTCACACGCTCAATGGCTGTATCTTAGGTTGTGCAGGTTGGAGAGAAAAGGAAAGCTATTTGAAAGATCCATTGACTAAGCAAGTGTACACCTTAGACAAATGGAGCCAAGATGATAGACTTCAATTCCTTTTATTCATTCATCGAATGCTGCTGCTCAGGCGAAATAAATAGGGGAGAAGTTCAGGAGAAGTTCTGTTACACTATAAGTTGTTGCAATCTGAATTTTAAAGGTATCTTGACTGTATTAATAAGATGAACAACACACAGTTGAAAAGCTTGATGGATTGAGTACCCTGCGCACATGTAAAGAGAAAAACCTAAAGAACTGCAGACGCTGTAAATCAGGAACAGAAACAGAAGTTGCTCAGCAGGTCTGGCAGCATCTGTGAAGGAAAAAAGTCGGAGTTAACGTTTCGGGTCCGGTGACCCTTCTTCAGAACAGGGAAGGTCCAGTTCTGAGGAGGGGTCACTGGACCCAAAACGTTAACTCTGATTCTTTTCTTCGCATGGAAAGAGAGATTGCTGGGCTTGGTTGGTTCAGTTGGCTGGACTGTGCTGTGGAATGCTGCCAACAGCATGTGATCAATCACTTCATTAGCTGTCAGTGTTCACAGAGGCCTCCCTCCTTGCCTTAGTCTATTTTTGACAAAGCATATCCCACAGCCTGCCCCCAATCGAAGTTAAATAAACAACCGTCTCCTTCAAATGGAATGAGATGTCTACAGTCCTTTGCGAATTATAGTTAATTACTAATGTGCAGGGCTTCCACACTGGTAGATAAAATAGTCTCTGAAGTGCGTATCAGCCCCCAGAATATTACTTTCAATTTGCTATGTCTATTTTTGATCCCAAGCCCCTTTAAGGGGCTGATCATTTGACAATTAGTTAATCTGATTTAATCTGCACCCAAAGAAAAAAATTCTCCCCTTCCGACTCCATTTTGATTTAGCCCCTTCCCCGTCCCTTACCCTGGATGGGCTTTGCATGTAAATTAATCAGTTGGGTGGTTTACTGGTGGAGCTAAATGGATAAAACAAAGTACAGTGGATGATTTGGTGATGGGAAAAAAACCGTTCAGTTGTGTGCAAGAACTAATAAAAGAAAACAATAAAGACAGAATCCTGAAGACAGAACATTTAATGTCTTTGCTTGAGGTATCCATGACAACTGACATTTCATCTGTGTGCATGCTTGAAGCCACATTTATTCACTCAAAAGGTTCTGTTCTATGTGGGCAAAAGGTATTTACGCAAACACTGCATCTTCTCCTTCAGAAAACGGTTATGGACATTGCCAATCCCTGCCTCATTGCCCTGGCGACGCACAGACCAATCACAGTCTACCTGCCTGTTCTGAGGTTAATAGCCGACCAAAGATTAACAGGTATCAGTTCCTGCACAAACTCCAAGCCAACCATAGTCCAAACAATCAGCACCCTCTTCTCATGCTATATAAATTGCTGTTCCCATTCCAAAATTGGTTCTCTTGTGTTTCAATCCTGATGAGGGCAAGATGCAAAGCTTTGACTTGGTGCCCCCTTTTAGCAATGTTAAGGACTGAGCCTAATTGGATAAGTTTCAAATAGTTTGCAATCAGCACCATGGCTCCTTTTTTTCTCTGTACAACTCTATAATGTTATGGTGAACACAGAGTCCCGATAATTATTATGAACTTCCCGTCAATATTCATCCTGAGTAATGAACAATTCCTTTATAAAAAAACACATTGAGAATTTCCATTAAATGTATAATTAACATCACATCATTAGCGCCATGTTAAGTACAAACTTCACACTGAAATATTCCCACACTGCAATTAACATTGCAATAAGTAATAATCACTTTGCAGTATCTAAACCACAGTCCATTTAATCACAGACTGTCAGTGTGTGTGTCTGTGTATGCAGCACTCCAGTAAAGTTCAACACTGTGAAAAATGATTGATCTGTTGCACTTAAATGTTTTGCAAACTGTGTCTGGGAGGCTATTGTTTTAGATTCAGATTGAGGATTGCAAACAGAATGTTTCAGACAGCCAACAGTCCATAATTTGCTGATTTAGTGCGGTGTTGTATACTCGTAGTCAGAGAGCACTTGATAATATGAACCAGTCAGTGAGAACCTCTAGTGGTACAGCAGTGTTATTGTAACAGAGTGACTTTGATACTCCAAAGTGGAGGGGGAGACATTAAATCTGACTGCACACATGAAAGGGCTTAATGCGCTGGTGTGTTAACCACATACGTGCCGTGCAAGGGATTGAGCACGACTAGTCGTGACTCTCACTGTAATGCATCCAGTCGTTTGTAGGTGTCAATCAGACAACATAGCACAACTTCAATACAGGCAAAATACAGCGGGCGCTGGAAATCTGAAACACAGAGCAACTTGTTCGTCAACCTTTGAACTTCTGTAGGCTAACGTGGGAGGTGGGAGTCAGGGGTGGTGGTTGTGGGGTGGAGGGGCAAGTGCAGGAACTCATCAGCGTTAGTTTGACCTCGTTCTGCCTCTGCAGAAAGTGAGTTAGCGCGGTCGCCCTCTCACTACCGCCGTCTGAAGGGCAGGTAGGGATGGACAATAAATGCCAGCCAAATGAAGGAACATAAAGAAGGATGGTGTGAAGTGTTAAAAGGATTCCGTGGGCTGATTAACAAGCCTGGAAGATCCCTTGTGTTACAGCACAGATTCTAGACCAAACAGGCTTTTAAGACAATGACATGGCATCACAACAAGAGATGTTCCAGTCTGAAGTTACTTGCTGCTTGCCTTCAGCCACTCTCTGTTATGGAGTCAGCTGTAATTGTTTGTACCATATACTAAGCACTGTACCCGGGCTGTGTGTGTCAGCCTGTAACACTGCAGCTCTGTAAACAGTTAGCACTGTGCAACTTTAGAAGACTCAGAACGTTAACCCTGTTTCTCCACAGATGCTGCCAGGCCTGCAGAGTTTCCTCCAGCAATTTCTGTGTCTGTTTCAGGTTTCCAGCCTCCACAGTGTTTTGCTTTTAAATTTTAGGTACCGGATTCAAGGAAAGCCTGACTATTTCTGATTGTACGTAAAGTAGATGATAGAGAAACAGCCACTATCATTTCTCACAGCCATCAGCTCTGAAGTGAGGCTTCATAGAATCCCTACAGTGTAGAAACAGGCCATTCGGCCCAACAAGTCCACACTGACCCTCCAAAGAGCATCCCACCTAGTCCAACCTCCCTTACCCTATACCCCCATGGCTAACACACCTAACCTATACACTATGGGCAATTTAACCTGGTCAATCCACCTAGCCTACACATCTTTGGACTGTGGGAGGAAACCAGAGCACCTGCAGGAAACCCACACAAACACAGGAAGAATGTGCAAAGTCTATACAGAGAGTCACCCAAGGGTGGAATCAAACCCAGGTCCTTGGTGCTGTGAGGCAGCAGTGCTAATCACTGAGCCACCGTGCCACCCAGGGCCTTCCATTGGACAGGTTGGAGTATTAGCAAATGAATCACTTGGGCTTCAGGAGGACAAGGCACAACAGATACACATCCATCGACCTTCTGAAGTCTCTTCTAATAACAATTAGTCAGAACCTGGGAACTTGATACACTGTGTTTGGACGCAGCACATCCTCAATTTGATTTATGTGAAGGTGCCGGGGCTCATTGTGTTGGAATGGTATTGGGGGTAAATGCAAAGGGCATGAGGCCAACCTGATAACTTCCAAACAGCTGACACAGGAGCAGTGCCTTACCCTGACGTGCTGTACAATTCCCCGATTTTATGATTAATGCCTGTAAGCGGGGCCCAGGCAAATCCAAAGACCGCCTGCTCAAATTGGCCTCACTTATCAAGAACTGTGACAACATTCTGCCTGCTTGCAATGGTGCAGCAACAGGTTAGGCCTCACGCTCCTGCACAGGAATCCCCTCAGAGTGACAGCTGTTTATTCCCACTGCCCTGGGGTGTGCAGGGCTTCTGAAACCATCAAACCTGTCCATCACTTCATGGTATGTTAGTTCACAGGTGAACACACAGATGGAAGCAAGGTGACATAGTGGAGGAGAGGCAGTGAGTCTGGTCAATGTACAACAATGCACCTTCAAAGGAGATTCGAAGAGATATGGACTGTCTCCTCTCAGGCATTACGACTGCCAGTCAGGAAGAAAAAGGGATGCTTCTGATCGAGGAACGCATGCCTAGAGACCCCAATGGCATTTTTTATAAATTTATTCATGGGCATTACTTTTACCCGTTCCAAGTTACCCCTTGAGAAGATGGGGGTGAGCTGCCTTCTTGAACCACTGCAGCCCATGCGCTGTAGGTAGACCCACGATGCCCTCAGGGACAGAATTCCAGGATTTTGACCCAGTGACAGTGAAGGAACGGCGATATATTTCCAAGTCAGGGTGGTGAGTGGCTTGGAGGGGAACTTGTAGGTGGTGGTGTTCCCATATGCCTGCTGCCCTTGTCCTTCTAGATAGAAGTGGCTGTGGGTTTGGAAGGTGCTGGCTGAGGATCTTTGGTGAATTTCTACAGGGCATCTTGAAGATAGTTCACACTGCTGTTACTGATGTTGAGCATCTATTGGGTTTCATTGTGAAATAAGAAGGGTGTACTTCAAACGTCTTGGCAAATGCAGTTCCATCCCTGCAATTTCCTGTTTAGTTCAGACATCCTCAGACATAGTAGTCATTTTATTAATGGCTGTAAGACAAACAGCTGAGGAAATCACGCAAGGGCTCAAAGCCAAACCTTCCTTCTCTGACAGAGCAACCTAGCCTTACTCAAGATAGAAGGACCACATTGCATTGCTGATTCCCCAACTATAAGAAGCAATAGAAATACAAAAACATCAACTTGGAATTTTTTTTCCCTTATTCATTCAGAGGATGTAGGCATCACTGGCTAGCCAGCATTTACTGTTCATCTCTAATTATCCTTCAGAAAGTGGTAGTGAGCTGGCTTCTTGAACCGCTGCAGTCCATACATACACCACAGTGCTATTCAGGGAGGGAATTCCAGGATTTTGACAATGAAGGAACAGGGACATATTTCCGAGTCAGGATGATGAGTGACTTTAGGAGGAACTTGCCGGTAGCAGCGTTCCCGAATGCCTGCTGCCCTAATCCTTCTAGATAGAAGTGGCCATGAGTTTGGAAGTTGCTGTCTAAAGAGCCTTGGTAAGTTGCTGCGGTGCATCTTAAGCATGGTCCCCCAATCTGTTGCTCAATTGGTGGATGGACTGAATGTTGACTATGCTAGATGGGGGTGACAATCAAGCTTCCTGAGTGTTGTTGGAGCTGCACCCATCCAGGCAAGTGGGGAGAATTCTATCACACTCCTGAGTTGTGTCTTGTAGATGGTGGACAGGCTTTGGAGAGACAGGAGGTGAATTATTGCTGTAGGATTCCTAGCTCTTGTAGCTACTAGGGCGATTCCATTTCTGATCAACAGTAACCCCGGCTGTTGCTACTGGGGGACTCAGTGAAGATAATGCCATTGAATATAAAGGGGCAATAGTTAGATTCTTGTTGGAATTGGCCATTGCCTGGCCTGAATGTTATTTGCCCAAGCATACTCAGGAAGAGCAAGCTCAGCATTAGTACAGTGTCAGTTCATCTCTTACCTGCCTGAACCACAATGCTGACAGGATTTCCTTCTCTGCCTCCAGAAAGTGGTGACACATTGATGTAATATGTTGCCCCTTGTTGCACTCGGTCAATGTCAAATGTTGTTACGTCGTGTGACACAATTCTGGTTATCTCATATCCTGAACAGGAAAAGACCAGGTTATAAATGCGCACAATTTCAAAACGATCAGGTTAACACAAAACCTGGAAATATCATCAGCTATGAGGTGGACAGTGTCTAACTTCAAAAGGATAGATAGGTTGCAGGATGTGGCAGATGACCGTTAATACAGACATGTGTAAAGCGATACATTTTGTTTGGAAGAGCAAAATAAATTCAGCTCTGTAAAAGGCCTGAAGACTGGTAATGCTAACTTTGTTGCTTTTTCCACAGTTGCTGCCAGAAATGCTGAGTTTCACCAGCACTTTCTGTGCTTGTTTCACATTTCCAGCATATTTTGCTTTCATTACAAAATAATGGGTACAATTTCAAGAAGGGTGCAGGATCAGAGGCACGTGGAGGAAGATGTGTACACATTCCCTAGAATCCTTGCTAGTTGCAGGTCAGGGTGAGAAGGTGAAGAATAAAACATACAGGATCTTGGGCTTTAGAGGGCTGGAGCACACAGGCAAGGGACTTGTGCTTCAGTCTTCAGAATTTGGGATGGGTTTCGTGCACCTGCTGGATGTTGTATTTGGCCATGAATTCACATTGCTTGAGAGGGGCAGTTTTGTCCTCCACAATGTAGCGAATGGTGGCCATTGAGTTGGTGCTGTTTGCAGAGCTTGGGACTGTAGGAGCACAATGGCTTGTTATCGACCTCTGAGAAGTGTATGTATTTGCCGTCATACACCACATGATTCTTCTCGCGAACATCAGCCCTCAGATGCCCGATCTAAGTTTGCAAAATGCTGGTTCCCATCGATCTGCTGCTTTTGTCCTTCCAGGTAATAATGCTCAAAGGAGCCTTGGTGAGTTACTGCTGTGTGAAACTTGCAGATGGTACACACTGATGTTACTGGGTGTCAGTAGTGAAGGCAGTGAATGTTGAAGGTGTTGGATGTGGTGCTGAGCAAGCGGGCTGCTTTGTCCTAGATGGTGTCGAGCTTCTTGAGTGTTGTTAGAGCTGCACCCATCCAGGCAAGTGGGAAGTATTCCATCACTCCTGTCTTGTGCTTTGTAGACGGTAGACAGGCTCTAGGAGTCAGGAGTTGTAGTGATTGGAACCAGGTGGATCGTGTTGACTACAAGATCCTTGATTGGGGTTGCTAATCTGGGCCAATCAGGAAAGCCCTGACTGACCAACATAACCAGGAAATTTAGAATCTCCTCAGTTCAGGGGACTGACTCCGAGCTGGCTGGCTATAGAAAGTGTACTGTGTACATGTAAATAAAGGGTGACTTGGTGATGGGAATACAAGCCTCTGTGCAGTTATTTCAGGAGATGAGTTACTTACTGCAGTATTTCCAGCCTTTGGCCCACTCCTGTAGCTACAGCATTTACCCAGCTGGTTTGGTTCAGTTTCTGATCAATGGGAAGCTTCACCCAGATGTTGATAGCTGGGTGATTAAGCAAGGGGCACACAGGCAGAGTTATTCTGTCTATGCAATATTACACTGGTGCTGTTGGAGTTTTGCATACCACTACCTCTGGAACATCATACCTGTTTGATCTCTCCAGACAATTTTATAAGCTGTTGCTCCCGGTACTGCAGTCCAGCTGATCTGAAGCCGGCCTCGAGTTGTATCCACTGCTCTCAGACTTGCGATGGTGCCCAGTGGGATTTCCTTTTCCACTAATTATAAAATACAAAGACAATGACAAGGCGAAAGCAAAAGTTACCAATCCGCCCTTTCCCCGAACAAGAGCCTAATCTCTGTGTAATCAGCTCAAAAATTACATGAAAACAGACCCTTCATTCCAACCAGTCAATGCCAACCATAATCCCAAGTTAAAGTAGTCCATCTGCCTACACTTGGCCCATAACTCTCCGAAACTTTCTTATTCACTAACTTATCCAAATGTGTTTTAAATGTTGTAATTGTACCTGCATCCACCACTTCCTCTGGAAGTTCATTCCACACACTGTTGAGTGTTGTTGGGGCTGCACCCATCCAGACAAGTGGGGAGTATTCCATCACACTCCTGACTTGTGCCTTGTAGATGGTGGACAGGCTTTGGGGAGTCAGGAGGTGAGTTATTCGGCACAGTATTCCCAGCTTCTGACTTGCTCTTGTAGCCATTGTGTTTATATGGTGAGTCCAGTTGAGTTTCTGGTCAATGATAACCCTCAGGATGTTGATAGTTGGGGGATTCAGTTATGGTAACATGATTGAATGTCAAGGGACAGTGGTTAGATTGTCTCTTGTTGGTTATGGTCATAGCCTGGCATGTGTGTGGCGTGAATGTTACTTGTCACTTGTCAGCCCACGCCTGGATATTGTCCACGTCTTGTAGCATTTGAACATGCACAGCTTCAGTTCCTGAGGAGTCATGAATGGTGCTGAACATTGTGCAATCATCGGCGAACATCCCCACTTCTGACCATATGATGGAGGGAAGGTCATTGATGAAGCAGCTGAAGATGGTTGGGCCGAGGACACTACCCTGAGGAACTCCTGCAGAGATGGCCTGGAGCTGGGATGACTGACCTCCAACAACCACAACATCTTCCTATGTGTCAGGTATGATTCCAATCACCGGAGAGTTTTCCCCCGATACCCATTGATTCCAGTTTTGCTAGGGCTCCTTGATGCCACGCTCAGTTGAATGCAGCCTTGATATCAAGGGCTGTCACTCTCACCTCACCTCTGGAATTCAGCTCTTCTGTCCATGTTTGAACCAAGGCTGTAATGAGGTCAGGAGCTGAGTGGCCCTGGCGGAACCCAAACTGGGCGTCACTGAGCAGGTTATTGCTGAGCAGGTGCTTGATAGCACTGTTAGTGACACCTTCCATCACTTTATGACGACTGAGAGGAAACTGATGGGTGGTGGTTGGCTGGGTTGGATTTGTCTTGCTTTTTGTGTACAGGACATACTTGGGCAATTTTCCACATTTGTTGGGTAGATGCCAGTGTTGTAACTGTACTGGAACAGCTTGGCTAGGGGTGGGGGCGACAAGTTCTGGAGCACAAGTCTTCAGTACTATTGCTGGAATGTTGTCAGGGCCCGTAGCCTTTGCAGTATCCAGTGTCTCCAATCGTTTCTTGATATCATGTGGAGTGAATCGAATTGGCTGAAGATTGGTATCTGTAATAGTGGGGACCACTGGAGGATGCCGAGATGCATCGTCCACTCAGCACTTCTGGCTGAAGTTTGCTGCGAATGCTTCAGCCTTATCTTTTGCACGGATGTGCTAGGCTCTTCCATCATTGAGGATGGAGATATTTGTGGAGCCTCCTCTTCCAGTGAGTTGTTTAATTGTCCACCACTATTCACACTGGATGTGGCAGGATTGTAGATCCTTTGGTTGTGGGATCGCTTATCTCAGTCTATCACTTGCTGCTTTTGCTCTTTGGCATGCAAATAGTCCTGTTTGGTGACTTCACCAGGTTGACACCTCATCTTCAGGTATGCCTGGTGCTGTTCCTGATATGCCCTTCTGCACTCTCCATTGGACCAGGGTTGATCCCCTGGCTTGATGGTAATGGTTGAGTGGGGGATATGCCGGGCCATGAGGTTACAGATTGTGCTGGAGTACAATTCTCCTGCTGTTGATGGCCCACAGCGTCTCATGGATGCCCAGTCTTGAGTTGCTAGATCTGTTCTGAGTCTGTCTCATTTAGCACGGTGATAGTGCCACACAACACGATGGAGGTTGTTCTCAATGTGAAGGCGGGACTTCGTCTCCACAAGGACTGCGCAATGGTCACTCTTACCGATACTGTCATTGACAGATGCAACTGCAGCTGGCAGATTAGTAAGGATGAGGTCAAGTATGTTTTTCCCTCTTCTTGGTTCCCTCACCACCTGCTGCAGACCCAGTCTAGCAGCTATGTCCTTCAGGACCCAACCAGCTCGATCAGTAGTACTGCTGCTGAGCCACTCTTGGCGGTGGACATTGAAATCCCCCACCCAGAGTACATTTTGTGCCCTTGCCATCCTCAGTGCTTCCTCTAAGTGTTGCTCAACATTGAGGAGTAATGGTTCATCAGCTGAGAGAGGACGGTATGTGGTAATCAGCAGGAGGTTTCCTTGCCCATGTTTAACCTGAAGCCATGAGACTTCATGGGGTCCGGAGTCAATGTTGAAGACTCCCAGTGCAACTCCCTCCCGACTGTATCCCACTGTGCCGCCCCCTCTGCTGGGTCTATCCTGCTGGTGAGACAGGATGTATCTAGGGATGGTGATGGTGGTGTCTGGGACATTGTCTGTAAGGTATGATTCTGTGAGTATGACTGTGTCAGGCTGTTCCTTGACTGGTCTGTGAGACAGCTCTCCCAATTTTGGCGCTAACCCCCAGATTTTAGCGAAGAGGACTTTGCACGGTCGACAGGTCTGTTTCTGTCGTTGCCTTTTCCAGTGCCTCAGTTGATCCATCCATTTCATTTCTTTGAGTCTTTGTCGCGACTGGTACAACTGAAAGGCTTGCTCGGCCATTTCAAAGGGCAATTGAGAGTCAACCACATTGCTGTGGGTCTGGAATCACATGTAGGCCAGACCAGGTGAGGGTGGCAGACTTCCTTCCCTGAAGGGCATCAGTGAACCAGATGGGTTTTTCCCCGGCAATCATTTCACAGTGATCAGTAGATTCTTAATTCCAGACTTCTTAAAAAAAAAGTATTAAATTCAAATGCCACCATGGTGGGATTTGAACACAGGTCCCCAAAACATCACTTAGGTTTTGGGATTAATAGGTTTAGTGGTAATACCACTAGGCCATCACCTACCTTGGGAAACTTATGCATGAAACACAGAAAAGTAGCACACAGGTGCCACAGATAATCAGAATAAGCAGAAAATCACATGTGCAGCACAACTGATCCAGATGTGTCTCCATATATATCGAACCACAGAATCCCTATTGTGTAGAAGCAAGCTATTTGGCCCATCAGGTCCGCACTGATCCTCTGAAGAGCTGGGAGTGGTTATCCCATCTCGAGACTTGACTCAACAAGGAGGGTTTCTCAGAGGGGCGAGTTTGAAACTGAATCTCTGAGGGGCCTTAAAGACCAGGCCCTCTGTATTTGTAGGGGGACTGCTCTGGATCAGCTACTTGGGACACAGCTCTTACCCCACTGCTCGCCTTGTTTTTGGGTGCTGAATGGAAAGAGGCCTCCTCCACTAAACCAATTCACCTGCCTTACACGCTTGGCTCTATTCCGTCGTCTCGGTCAGCCTCCTCACCATCATGTCCAGAGTCAGAGATTCATACAGACAGAAGAGACACTTCAGCCCATCGAATCTGTGCCGATCTGTCCTGCAACCTCACGACTAGAAAGGCTCTGCCCCAATGGGAGAACGACAGACAAGTTGGTATCAAGTCAGAGCTCTCTGCTTCTACCTGATTTCTCAGTGTTAAGAGGTTCAGGCCCCTCTCCATCATGTTATATGTTGCTGTTATGAGTTGTTAGGAGAGAGCAGCCTTTCACAAGAGAAAGGGGGACGTCAAAGTGCCTGTCACCAGAACAGGGGAGAACTCCTTTTGATGGGGCTTTCAGGGAATCTTCAGCAGGGGAAAAGACAGAAATTGGGCCTCTGGTTCTGCTCTGGGCCCAGGCACCACACCCATGGGGTCCAAGCCCTGATCCAAGCACAGTCAACCCCCCAGTTCCCTGAGCCTCCGTTATTGGGCCCTGATATTAGCTCCCTGTCCTAAGCCCTGCTCTTCAATCTAACTTATGTCTCTGATGGTCACCAAAGTAACAGGGATAATTCAAAATCATAAGTGAGGGCTAGTGTGTTACTCCAGAAGTATGAGGCAATGGTCTTTGAGGTGGGTTCATTCCTGCTTTGTGAAGACAAAAGTTACTGCTCTCCTTCACTATTCTATCCTGGGATGTGAGTTTCTCTTTAAGGCCAGCATTTAATGCCCATCCCTAATTGCCCTTTGAGTGTGATAATAGTTTCATGGTCACAGGGAGAGATATGGACCAAACACAGGAAAATAGGACTAGATTAATTGTGAAAACTGAGTGGCATGGACAAGCTGGTCCAAAAGGCCTGTTTCCATGTTGTAAACCTCTGTGACTCTATGACTTTTACTGAGGGAGGGTCACTCAACCTGAAAAGTTCACTCTGATTTCTTTTCACAGATGCTGCCAGACCTGCTGAGCTTTTCCAGCAATTTCTATTTTTTGTCTCTGACATTTACTGAGACTAGCTTTCAATTCCAGGGTTTATTTTTATTCAAATAAGTGTTTTTAATTAGCGTATTGCTGAAAAAAGGCACACTGTGTCAAAGCTTTTCATTTTGCATTCATTAGGACAATTGGCAATAAATACAAATTTAAGGGGGAAATCAACACTTAAGCAAACTTACACCACACCCGGCAGTTAACTGTCAATCACCATTAGCAGGTACATTCTCGACAGCAATGGTTCTCTCAAAGTCTATTTGCTAACCAATCAAAGTAGCTTCTTTTGGACATACCTGTCTTTGACATGGTCGCTGGGGTTGCTACTTCTCTGCCATTGTACAGTGTGTAGAGTGTTATGGCATATTCAGTACCAGGAGAGAGGTTGATAATGTCATAGCTGTTGGTGGTGGCAGCCAGCACGGTTTTGTGAGATTGCATCTGTTCCTCTGCGGAGAGCAAAAATAACCTTTTGTTTTCAGTTTTTGATTTACCGTTTCCGAAATGGAGTTACAAACCAACATTGCAGATCTTGAAGTCGCAGTTCACATTATCGCTTCTTGGAGACTTTTGCACAGATTGGAATGAGGGGTGTTGGTGTCATAAAACATTTGCCCAATCAGTGCTGAGTAGATGAGTCTTTGTCAGAATTTCAAACGGCAGGACTATCTGCAAAATAGCAAGGAGGTACACTTCCCTCATCGCAAACATTTCTACAGCTGGTTAGAGGTGTAAGCGTTAAATTTATCACTAGGAGATCATTTCAGCAGGACTTAAACCTACATTTTTTTGTTAGCACCCCTCTTAATGTTGGAGTTAGACATCCCTTATCCATTCAGCCAGCTCTAAAGCTAAAGTTACCACCATCCCATTGGACACAGAACTGGTGAGTTTCAACTGAAAGTCACCACAGCTCAGGCAAGGGGCAAGGTTAAGATGGCAGGACCTTGAATGGTAACCTGATCCAGTGTAGAAACTGAAGCCAAACTATTGGTGTCTTGCAAACTGAGCTAACAAATTCCCAAGTATTAAATTTAAACCCTCGGTGTTAGTGTAGCAAGAGTTAAGTTCGCTGGCTGGGTTCAAGTAATTAGTTAAGTGACTGAGAAAATAAAAAGCAGTAGTGGGGTTGGTCAGCTCGGTTGGCCAGGCAGCTGGTTTAAAATGCACAGTGACGCCAAAAACATGGGTTCGATTCCCACGCCAGCTCAGGTCACCATGAAGGACTCTCCTTCTCATCCTCTCCCCTCACCTGAGGCATGCTAACCCTCAGGTTAAACCACCAGCAGTTGTCTCTCTCTCTAACGAGAGAGCAGCCCTACGAACTAAGGCTCTTGTGGTGCAGGGGTAGTGTCCCTACCTCTGAACCAGGAGACTTGGGTTCAAGTGCCACCTGTTCCAGAGGTATGTAATAACATTGCTATGCAGGTTGATTGGGAAACGCCTACAAGGTAGTATTGAGGATGGAATGCTCTGTCAGCCTGCGCTGTTGATAAACTCTATCCATTAAGGAAAGTAGCCTTGAGTTCCAGTAGGCTCAGATAAGAATTCATACTCGGAGGGATGGGTTTTAACAGAGATGATTCAGTGGCACACACTCAGAAAGCAGCTGGTCAATAATATGTGTTAAAGAGGGTCTTAGCCATACAAAGCCCAAAGAGGTGAAGGGAGGAATGAGTGGCTGAATCCATTGAGGAAGTGCCTTTAATGCACTGCTTGTGGGCTAGAAGAAGTAAACGTTTCTCTCCGAGCTCAGTCCTGGTGAATGAGCCCCCTCTGCAGATTCCGCACCCCCCACCCCCTGCTCAATGTGTCTGACTTGCTTGCAATCACCTCCCACATCATTGACAATGACTGCTGTCAGTATCTGGTGTCACAATTCTGTTGGAATCCCTACAGCGTGGATGCAGGTCATTTGGCCCGTCCAGTCCACACCAACCCTCTGAACAGCATCCCACCCAGACCCACCCCATCCCTGTAACCTTGCACCTAATCCACCTAACTTGCACATCATTGGACACCATGGGCAATTTCTCACAGCCAATCCATCTAACCTGCACATCTTTGGGCTGTAAGGGGAAACCGGAGGAAACCCACGCAGACGTGGGGAGCATGTGCAAACTCCAAACTCAGACAGGGGGTGGAATTGAACCTGGCACTGTGAGGGAGCAGTGCTAACCACTGAGGCCCTGTTACCACAAAGACACTGGACACCTACCCATCATTTGGCTTGGCTGGCTGCCGTGAGCAAACAAGAGAACTAAGAACAAAAATTAATCAGGTTCTACCCTTGAATATAGACTTTTTCTTTATTTGTTCATGGTTTTTGAGCATTGCTGGCCCAACCAACATTCATTGCCCAGATGGTAGTTAAGCATCAACCACATTGCTGTGGGTCTGGAGTCACATGCAGACCAGACCAGGCGAGGATAGTAATTGAGGAGATAGTAGGAACTGCAGATGCTGGAAAATCTGAGATAGCAAGGTGTAGAGCTGGATGAACACAGCAGGCCAAGCAGCATCATAGGAGCAGGAAGGCTGACGTTTCGGGCCTAGATTTTCTGATGAAGGGTCTAGGCCCGAAACGTCAGCCTTCCTGCTCGGCCTGCTGTGTTCATCCAGCTCTACACCTTGTTATCAAGGATAGTAGTTTCCTTCCCTGAAGGATATTAGTGAACCAGATAGGTTTTTTTTACTCCTGACAATCATTTAATTCCAATTTTTTTTTTGATTAGATTTAAATTTCACCATTGCCCATGGTAGGCTTTGAACCCTTGCTCCCAGGACATTTGTCAGAGTGTCTTGATTACAAGACCTGTTACCACCGCCACCTCCACCTCTTGTCTTTAGGCAATCTGTGCCCCTGGTTGTTGTGGTCTGTAACTCTGCCTTCTTCTCCAGCACTATCCTCATGAGGACTTTAGTCTGAAAGACTTTTACCTGTGGCCTTCCTCCACTCTATCCTGTAGTTACTGGCATCGTGTTGGAGGTTCCACGTCACACGAATAGCAGTCGGACTGATCGCAGCCGTCCTTAAAAGCAGCCCTCCTGCCACATCTGAGCAAGAAAGGAAGAAACTGTTAGGGTGGAACATGAAAACATGGCAAAACCTGAGGAATGCTTGGCTATCCTGTGTGTAAGCTCCCGTGACTTCATAACTCATAGTCTTGTACGATAAACTAATAAAAATAGCCTTCTTCATCTGCCTTATCCAATTCAACAATGTGTAATTCCAATGGCTCAAACCCAAAGCCGACATTAAAATCCTGGAACACCCTCCCTGATAGCACTTTAGGACTCTGCCCTCGCTTAACAGACTACAGAGGTTCAAGAAGGCAGCTCACCACCACATTCTCAAGAACAACCAGAGCCGTACAATAACTGTTGACCTTGCCAGCAATGTCCACATTCTACGACCAATGAGAAAAGATAAAATTGTTTGCATTAACAGAATTCTAACAGCTCCAACCCTTTCCCGTTTGCTTTTACTGGCAGTGCAGAATTCCCGTAGACCATACCTAATCCACATTCCCTTCACTTCCTTCATACAGAATTCCACTGGCCTAAGACCATTGATATACAATCCTTAAGACTGATGATGGGGCAGCGTTCCACCATTTATGGCTGCGCAGGGAGGGTGCTTTCCTGTAGAATATCATAGCTGATGATTTCCACAAAACTGCAAATGACTGACTGGTCATACATACAATGTAACACATGCACTGCATGGTTTTACTCCTGGAAAACCACAGGTGAGCAAACATTGGCTTTGCAATGGGCACATGGCTATACAATATCACATGAATAGTGCAAAGTGCTCACAGTCATAAACATAGTAACTGGGCACAAGAGTAGGCCATTCAACCCTTTGAGCCTGGTCTGTCATTTAACATGATCATGACTGATCCTGTATCTCAACGGCATGTTCCCCTTACTTCCCCACAACCCTTGATGGCTTTGAAATCTAAGTGGTGGCCATGGTGTGGAGGTGACCTGACGAAGGAGCAGCGCTCTGAAAGCTTGTAATTTCAAATAAACCTGTTGGACAAAACCTGTCGTGTGACTTCTGACTTTGAAATCTAAAGATTTATCGATTTCTCAAATATCTTCAGTGATGATCTCCACAGCTTTCTATGGTATAGAATACAAAAGGTTCACTATTCTTTGAGTGAAGACATATTTCCTCTTCTCAATCATAAATGGTCTACAGGGTTTTAGTGAAGATTTGTAGCTCAGGTACTGTTGTAGATGTTGGTGTGTTCGTCGAGCTGGGAGGTTTGATAGCAAACGTTTCGTCCCCTTACTCAGTGACATCCTCAGTGCTGTGGAGCTTCCTGTGAAGGGTTGTTATCTTGTGCCAGTTCAAATTTATATCATCTGGTTTTTGCTGCTTCCAGTAGGGGCCGGTTCCGGCTGTGCGTTGTAATGGTCGGTATATTGGGTCTAATTCAGTGTGTTTGTTGATGGAGTCCGCAAATAAATGCCAAGCCTCCAAGAATTCCCTGGCTGTCCTCTGTTTGGCTTGTCCTGTGATAGTCGTGTTGTCCCAGTTGAAAGTGTGTTTTTTCTCGTCTGTGTGTGTTGAAACCAAGGACATCTGGTCGTGTCATTTAGTTGCTAGCTGGTGTTCATACAGACGCTGCTTTTTGAACAAAATAGAATGTATCTGCAGTTACAAATCTGCAAATGCAAATTCAGTTCTATGACCCTTTGATCTGTTGCTTATAAATTCTGTGTCTGATGCCACCTCTCTCACTGACACCTGAAGCAGGAGCGAGACTCCGAAAGCTTGTGTCTTCAAATAAACCTGCCGGACTATAATAACCTGGTGTTGCGCGATTTTTAACCAAATCCTCTTTCGATGACGGTCAATATACCATTTTATTTATTCGTTGTATTTGGGCATCACTGGCTAGGCCAGTATTCATTATCCATTCCTTGCTTTCTGAGGCCATTAAGAGTCAGGCACGTTGCTGTGGTTCTGGAGTCACATGTGGGCCAGACCAAGTGAGGGCAACCGATTTCCTCCAATAACGGACATGAATGGGCCATTAATTTTACTACATGGTTGCCATTGGGTTAGCTTTTTATTGAATTCAAATTTTCTCTATACATGATAGTTGGAAGTCAAACTCATATTTTGAGAACGTTAGCCTAGGACTCTGGATTGCTCACGCAATGACATTAACACGCCATCACCACCTTCCCCATTTGCCTTCCTAATTGCTTACTGCACCTGCCTGTCCACAGCAGGACTTCTGTAAGACCAAGAGGAAAGTCAACAAGCAGAAATAAAGTGACAGAATTTTGGTGAGTTGATCAGTGTTGAGGAGCTACAGCGATCTCTTCTAGAGGGCATAGTGTTGGGGGAGAGATGGGGGTAACAGCAACAAGGGGGAGAGGATGGGTTCACCCTCGATGCATTTGTGAATGTCCCAGGGACTCTTACAGATGAGCGACAGCAATTGTCTGAGGAACACCCTGTCAGCAGCTCTCTCAGTAGGAGTATCTACAAAGGAAAATTGCTATTGTCCCACCAGGCCATTGGGTTGCTCTCTCATTAAAGAGAGATAAATTGCTGGTATTTTAACCTTTGGGGTGGCAGAGTGGTTAGCACTGCGGTCGCACAGCACCAGGGACCCAGGTTCAATTCCAGCCTCCATCTGTGTGGAGTTTGCACATTCTCCCTGTGTCTGTGTGGGTTTGCTCTGGTTTCCTCCCAATGACGTGCAGGTTAGGTGGGTTGGCCATGCTAATTCACACATAAGTGTCCAGGCTAGATGTGTTAGGGTTACAGCAATAGGGTAGGTCTGGGTGAGGATTAGTGTGGACTTGATGGACCAAATGGTCTGCTCCCACACTGTACGGAATTCTATGAAGGTAACCACACCTAAGGTGCAGGGAAGAGGTTGCAAAGAAGGTAATATCAGCCAGTTGCAGGAATGGAACCCACATTCTCAGCATTACTCCATAATCCCAAACCAGCTGTCCAGCCAAATGAGCTAGATCTGTTGCTGTTGTAGTAGCAGTAAGGTCATTCAGTTCAATCACAGTCAGCTTTAACTTCATGCCTTTTATATACTTGGGGCACTCTCTATCCGTCTTCATTCAGAATGAATTCTTTACCCACAGACATAATGGCTATTTGTTTAGTTTGTAATTTCTGCACAGATGTTTTAATCTTGATTTCTGATCCCTAATTGCTTTGGAAAACTGGCCAAGCTTTTTGGCAGAGCAACGATGCGCTCGTTGGGATTCATACGCTGAAATCATGCAAAGGTTAAAGGGAAAACATTTTTGCAGTTACTTTGAAAGAAAATTGAATGCCCAAGAGCTGGGGATGTTCTTTGGGTGAATTTGTTGGAGATAGTGAAATGCCTGAGGCACACATTGTCACAAGCCAGCTGAACCAAGAAGACACTATCATGGTCATTATTACTTTGAAAAGAGACATGTGCACAGTGAGGCTAAGGCCTCACAGAATTTAGTTCAATATTGTAAACACAGGTTCACTTTTACCTCTGGATGGTGAGGGTGTGGTGGAACTTTTCCCTCCAGTAATTATTTTATTTTATTCAATAGCTGTAGGAAGTACAATAACAAACTTGAAAGCCTACAGGAAAGATTTACCAGGATGTTATCAGGATTGAGTGTTTCAGCTATAGGGAGAGGCTGGGGGTGTCCTCCCTGGAGCATTGCAGGCTGAGGGGTGACCTTATAAGGGTTTATAAAATCGTGAGGGGCATGGATAGAGTGAATAGCCAAAGTCTTTTCCCCAGGACAGGGGAGCCCAAAACTAGAGGGCATAGGTTTAAGGTGAGAGGGGAAAGTTTTAAAAGGGACCTGAGAGGCAACTTTTTCACACAGAGGGTGGTGCGTGTATGGAGCGAGCTGCCAGAGGAAGTAGTGGAGGTGGTTACGATTACAACATTTTAAAGACATCTGGATGGGTACACGAATAGGAAAGGTTCAGAGAGATATGGCTAAACACAGGAAAATGGGACTTGATCAGTTTAGGGTATCTGGTCGGCATGGACAAGTTGGACCAAAGGGTCTGTTTCCATGGTGTATGACCCTATGAAATGGGAGGTGGGCATCACTGGCTGGACCAGCATTTAGTGCCCATCCCTAGTTGCCCTTAATGGTGGTGAGCTCCCTTCTTGAACCACTGCAGTCTATTTAGTGTACATGCATTCACAATGGAATTCACAATTCCCTTTCGGAAGGGAGTTCCAGGGTTTAGACCCAGCAAGATAAGAATAGCGCTATATTTCCAAGTCAGGATGATAAGTGTTTTGGACAGCAACTTGCAGGTGGTGGTGTTCCTGTGTATCTGCTGCCCTTGTCCTTCTAAATGGTTGAAGTTGTAGGTTTTCAAGGTGCTGTTGAAGGAGCCTTGATGAATTGCTGCAGTACATCCTTCAGACGGTGCACAATGCTATACTGTGTGGCCTCTCCCTGGCAAACTCTCCACTTTCTGAAGAAATATTTCCAAAGATGTGTTCCGGACTTGCATTATCTGTTCCTATCCTCTGCAAAGAATGGTCTCAATTGAATGATGTGGGATCGGTCAACCTTTCACATCATAAAAACAAGATCTATAAATGGGTCACCTCATTTATTTTTCCCCTTGAGGCTTTGTCTTGTCGAGTCAAACAAATTGGTGAACAATTGGATCTGCAAGGTGGCACACTATTTCTCCTGGGTCTTGTCAGGTCTTCCTGACTCCTCTCTGGATGTGTAAGCTTAACCACAACCCCCTGTAACAGCAATTGCAAGCTGCCATTTTTAAAATTAATTGGTTCTTCCCTTCCCACCTCCAAGGTCACTGTGCCGTTGACACGAGGTTCTCTCAAGTCATTGCACATTACGCTGTCATCCTCACCAGTAAATGCTGCCATACTATTCAACCTTGAGCAGCGTCACAGCCAGACCTGGACGTCTCCTTGTCCAATCCCCTCATTCCACCAGGAGTCATACACCACTCACACAAATGACTTTATTATTTCCCCAGCTTCGCCTATCCCCACTACCACTCCCACCCACCCAGAGGATAAAAGGTTGATCTCTTTCGTGGAAGGGCCAACTGTTGACACTCACTCACTCCACGCTACTTGGCATCAATGCCCAATGCTTTGGGCTGTTACATTACACGGAGTTGCCAAATCCCCAGGTTAGGGAATCGACAGCAGGAAAGCAACAGTAAGGAGGGCAGAGATCATGTGATGAAAACTCCAGGAATGTACCCAAGGAAAGTTGGCAACTCCAGCACGACAGAAATGTCAGTTGAGTTTGGAGCATATGGCACCTCATACCACAGATGGTATGGACTGATGTTGGTACCTGTTTTCACCCTGGTACTCGCAGGAGGCCCCTCCATTCTTCCATACAATGTTGTTATTGTTATTGTATAATCGGTATTTGGCAAAAGACCTTGGATATGGTATAATCCCGTTGATGGTTCCAGATTGACTGTCAGGACATCCCTTCCTACAGGAGAAAAGATAAAGCAAAGAAGAATCAAAAATACAACATGTCACTTCTTTTTCCATTCCCCAGCCTTAATTACCATTGAACCCAGTGGCTTGCTGGGCCATTTCAGAGGGTGGTTAAGAGTCAACCACCTTATTGTGGGTCTGGAGTCACATGTAGGCCAGACCAGGTAAGGATGGCAGTTTCCTTCCCTAAAGGACATCAGCAAACCAGATGGGTTTTTCCCAACAATCAATGATCGTTCTGTGGTAACCATTGTTGAGACTAGCTTTAATTCCAAATGTGTTGATAGAATTCAAATTCCACTAGTGGCTGTTATGCGATTTTAACCCATGTGCATAAGGACCCTCACCAACTTCTACAGATGCACCATTGAAAGCATACTGTCCAAGTGCATAACGGCCTGGTATGGCAACTGCTCTGCCCAGGACCGTAAGAAACTACAGAAGGTGGTGTGCACAGCCCAGACCATCACGGAAGCCAAGCTTCCATCCATGGACTCCATTTAGACGGCTCGCTGCCGCAGAAAGGCGGCCAACATCATCAAAGACCCATCACACCCTGGTAATGATCTCCTACAACCTCTTCCGTCAGGCAGAAGATACAGGAGCCTGAACACATGCACCAGCAGGTTCAGAAACAGCTTCTTTCTGGCCATTATCAGATTGTTGAATGGACTCTAGCCTCAAATAATGTAACCCGCAATGTAACCTGTATGCCTCTCAGTCTATTTGATCTGCACATCCTTTGCTTGCTGTGATCTGCCTGTACCACTCGTAAACAAAACTTTTCTCTGTATTTCAGTACACGTGACAATAACATCAATCAAACCAAATCAAAATATTAGCCTAAGCCTCAGATGGATGGCACGGTGGCACAGAGTGACAGCGCCACGGACCTGGGTTCAATTCCAGCCTCAGATGATTGTCTGTGTGGAGTCTGCACATTCTCCCTGCGGTCTGCGTGGCATTCCTCCGGGTGCTCCAGTTTCCTCCCACACTCCAAAGACGTGCAGGTTAAGTGGATTGACCATGCCAAGGTGTCAAAATAATGCCAGGGGATGTTTAGGTTAGGTGGGTTAGACATGGGAAATGCAGGGATAGGGGAATGGGTCTAGATCTTCAGAGGGGCAGTGTGAAGTTATTGGGCTGAATGGCCTGTTTCCACACTGTAGGGATTCTGTGAATGTCCTTATGTGCTGTGGCACAGTGCAAAATCCATGGCCTTTGAATCATCTGGAAAACTCAGACAAAAGCAACTGTTTTTCCTTTATTCATTTGCTGGTTAGGCAGTCCATCCCTAATTAAAGGGTCAACCACATTGCTGTAGGTCTGGAGTCACATGTAGGCCAGACCAGGTAAGGATGGCAGTTTCCTTCCGTAAAGAGCATTAGTGAACCAGATGGGCTTTTCCCCCAACAATCACCATTCAGTTCTTAATTCCAGATATTTATTGAATTCAAATTCCACTCTCTACCATAGCAGGATTTGAACCCAGGCCCCCAAAACATTATCGGGGTCTCTGGATTAACAGTCTAGCGATAATACCACTAGGCCATCACCTCCCACTAAGCTACCAGCCTCGGCAAGCGATTCTTACAGTTGTGCACAAAACAATGAAAAAGTAACACAGGAAAGGTAGGAAAAATAAAACAGATTCGTAGTAATTCAGTTTAACCCAGAGACAGTGATTGGACTTCAGCCGTTGCCATTAACAACCTTGCCCTGTGTTCTGGAACATGGAAATTTTTAAAAAATCAGTTGGGTTTCCTGCATCACTTTTCCTGACCTCAAAAGTAATGACATAGAAGAGAAATACTGTGCTGTGATCATAAATCCCACATTCAAATAGTTTATTTAATGTTCACTCGCACGAGAAGAAAATCAGGTTGCAATTCTGTAGGGCCTGACATGCAAATCCAAGCCTTCACAGGAGGAATGATCAAGCAACATTTGACACTGCGTTACATAAGGCTCGAGGAGGTCAGGTAACCAAAACCTGATTGAAGAGGTAGATTTTACGGAAGATCTTAAAGCAATGGATCTGAAAGGGATGATGTTGGAGATTTATCTGCACCAAATCTAATGGTGTCACATGATATTGGGTGGGAGGGGGGAAGGCAGGACATGTGAACAAGGAACAAGCATAGGCCATTCAGCCCTTCTAGCCTGATGTGCCATTCAATACGATCATGACTGATCTGATTTTAACCTCATCTCTCCATTCCTGCATAATCTTTCAACCACCTGGTCATGAAGAATCTATCTGCTTCTACCTTAAAAATGTTTAAAGATTCCACACTCCCTCTTGAGGAAGGGAATTCCTAGGACTCATGATCCTCTGAGAGAAAAAAATGTTTCCTCATCTCAGTTTTAAATGAGTGACACCTAATTTTTAAACTACAACCGCTGGCTCTAGAATGTCTTAGGACCTTATAGAGTCATAAGCACGGAGATAGGCCTTTCGGCCCAAATGGGTCCATGCCCACCAAAATGTCAATCCACGCTAACCCCATTTCCCTGCACTTGGCCCAATCCTTCTAAACCTTTCCTGTCCATATATTCATCCAGATGCCTTTTAAATGTTGTTAATGTACCTGCCTCAACCACTTCCGCAGGCAGCTCATCCCATATTGCTTGCAGGATGAGGACCAATGACCACAGGTCTCCCTATAGTGTTTGTACCAATGTTTAGCTTACTAACGTCACTTGTACTTCTAGTTACTATCATTGAATCAACTACATCTTGCTTAAGGTAAGAGCATCTTGTGAAGACAACAGTGGCTCAGCCTTCACTGCTTTAAATCAAGTAGCCCCTTGGTCAAGGATAGATAGCAATGGCAGCAAACTACTCCTGCCACAAGCTGGTAGTGATTGGCATCAATGCTTGCACTATGTGGAAAGGGACGGAGAGATTTAGGGAGGGAATTCCAGGCCCAGTGTTCTCCGAAGGCACGACTGTCAATGGGGGAGCATTCGAGGATGCTCAAGAGGCCAGAATTTGGGGAAACGGTGGCCGTCTAGTAACATCCCTATACTGGCAATCCAGATACCCAATCTTGTTCTGTGGGGACATGGGTTCAAGTCTGACCACAGCAGCTAGTGAGATTTAAATTCTATTTGTGAACAATCTCAAATCATAAAGCTAGACTTGATGATGGTTACCAGGAAACCACGGTTGATGGTTGTAAAAATCCCTATCTGGTTCATTAATAGCTGTTAGAAAGGGAGATCTGCCATCCTTACCCAGTCTGGCCTACATGTGACTCCAGACCCATAGTAACACGATTGACTCTTAGCTGACCTCTTAGTTGGTCAACGGCCACTCAGTTCAATGGGAATGAGGAATGGGCAACATGGTGGCTCAGTGGTTAGCACTGCTACCTCACAGTGCCAGGAACCCAGGTTCGATCCCACCCTCGAGCAACTGTCTGCGTGGAGTTTGTAAACTCTCCCCATGTCTGCGTGGGTTCCCTCCGGGTGTTCTGGTTTCCTCCCACAGTCCAAAGATGTGTAGGCTAGGTGGATTAGCCGTGCTAAATTGCCCATAATGTTCAGGGATGTGTAGATTAGGGGCACGGGTCTGGGTGGGATGCTCTGAGAGTTGGTGTGGACTTGTTGGGCCGAAGGGCCTGTTTCCACACTGTAGGGATTCTATGATTCAAAATAATGGCCTTGCCAGTGACCCACATGTCCCATGAATGAATAAAAAAGGTGCTGGTAAAAGGATTTCTGAAGAAGGGTCCAGACCCAAAACGTCAGCTTTCCTGCTCCTCTGATGCTGCTTGGCCTGCTGTGTTCATCCAGCTCTACACCTTGTTATCTGGTAAAATGCAGGGAGCTTGGAACTTTGTAAGATTGAGGGAAGTTAGACAGATGCGGGAGGGGTTGGGGAGGCCTTGGAGGGATATGAAATGAAGAATACTTATTTTAAATGTCAAGATATTGCAGGGTTGACATAAGCCCTGAGTGAACTGAAACGAGGTGCAAGTCACAACACATTTGTGAGGCGAACTCAATGAAGTGTCAAACATCTTGAAACATACATTGGCTAAAAGTGAGTTGGCAGGGGGAACCAGGACAAGAGGGAATGAAGCGGGTGCCGGTTTGGTTCAACAACACAAACAAGGCTTGTACTGCAAGAGATAGCAGGAACTGCAGATGCTGGAGAATCCGAGACAACAAGGTGCAGAGCTGGATGAACACAGCAGGCCAAGCAGCATCATAGGAGCAGAAAGGCTGACGTTTCGGGCCTAGACCCTTCATCAGGGTC